CAGAATATGATTCTATTTGTTTTGACTGCTCTTGCTTAGATGCGAAACAATATGCTCTTAAGGTGTACATGAATACATTTTATGGCACTGCTGGAGATAGTAAATCCCCTTTCTTCTTGCGAGCACTGGCCGGAGACGTCACATCAGCTGGACAGAGAAATATTAAACTTGTCGCAGATTTCGTTAAAAGTAAGGGTTTTCAGATAAAATATGGAGACACTGATTCATTATACCTAGTTCCTCCAGAAAGGTGCTTCCAGGAATGCAATGAAGCATATGACAATGGTAATGGGATCTCAAAAGAAGAATATTGGTCTAGAATGGTGAACGTTTCTATGGAAGTGATGGAGAAACTCTGTGACGAAGTTAATGACTTTCTTAGAAAAGATAATGGATCGTCGTATCTTAAAATAGCATATGAGGAAGTCTTATTTCCAGTAGTATTTACTGGAAAGAAAAAGTACTACAGTATTCCACATGAAAGTAAGTCGAACTTTAATAGAAAGCCTTTCATTCGGGGGGTAGAGACTGTAAAACGTGGGAAATCCAACCTTTTCCGCAAAATAGGAAAGTGTATTATGGATGAATCTATGGGGGTGAATAATACACGTACCTTGCATCAGATTGTGAAGGATGTGCTCAAAGAAACTGTAAAGGATATTTCGCAAACAGATCTTAATGAAATAATTAAAACTGCTGTGTGGAAGCCTGATAAAAATAACAAGAGTATACAGCGCTTCATTTCACGAATGCGAGATAGACATACTCGTGAAGAAGCAGACGCTAAACGGCTCATAAAAAAGGGTCTAACTCCTGAGCCTTATCTTTATGAAATCCCAGAACCATATGAACGCTTTGAATATGTTGTAGTTGAGAATGATTCATCAGATAAGGTCGGAGATAAAATGGAGTACCCAGAAGTAGTGAGGCGATTAGGTAAAAAGATCAATATTAGCTACTATCTGAAAAATGTTGTCGACCTCTGTGCGCGATTTATAAACTATGATGATAATTACCAGCCATTATCTGTAATTGTGCTGGAGGCCTTAAAAAAGTTAAAAGATGGTAATAAAGCGGGTGATAATAAAGCGGATGACGGTGGAGTGGATGAAGATGATGTGGATGAAAATGACATGGACGAAGATGAAGTGGATGAAGACGAAGTGGATGAAGATGAAGTATCAAAGATAAGAGATACCTTAGCACAAAAATTGGCTGAAAAGGGGGTTAGGGGTATATCAAAAACTTACATGAAGATCCGAAAAAAGAAAAAAGCATTATAACTCATTTATGGGGTGAAGCACGCATTTACGCGAAAAAATTATTTGATACTACTTATGCCGATAAGGGAGAACGCCTGACTAACAATGCTTATTGCCAATCCTTCCTCAATGCTCTAGATAAGCAAGAAGAATCCATCCGCTTAAAACTTTCATCATTGCTTAAAGAAATTTCCGAGGTTGATATAGAGTATAGAGA